GGGCCGCGGGCTGATGCTCATGATGCTGGCTTCGCTGGGCTGCTGAAAGGGCCGCGGGGCTGATGCTCATGATGGCTTGGCTGCAGACTGATGCTCGTGATGCTGGCTTGGCCGGGCTGCTGAAAGGGCCGTGGGCTGATGCTCATGGCTGGGCGGGCTTCTGAAAAGGCTGCGGGCTGATGCTCATGATGCTGGCTTCGCCGGCTGCTGAAAGGGCCGCGGGCTGATGCTCATGATGCTGGTTTGGCCGGGCTGCTGAAAGGGCCGCGGGGCTGATGCTCATGATGGCTTTGCTGCAGGCTGATGCTCGTGATGCTGGCTTGGCCGGGCTGCTGAAAGGGCCGTGGGCTGATGCTCTTCGCCGGCTGCTGAAAGGGCCGCGGGCTGATGCTCATGATGCTGGTTTGGCCGCGCTGCGGCTGATGCTCATGATGCTGGCTTGGCTGGGCGGGCTTCTGAAAGGGCTGCGGGCTGATGCTGATGATGGCTTGGCTTGGCTGGGGGGGGGCTGCTGAAAGGGCCGGGCTGATACTCATGATGCTGGCTTTGCCGTGCTGCTGAGAGGTCTACATCCCGCATCCCGAGCAGAGCACTACAAGCCCCAACAAAAACAAAGGACCCTAAACTCCATAAATAAACTTTATACTCCGCAAGTCCCCTGCCCCGCCCCACATTACAGAGAAAAAACTAAAGCCCTCTAAGCACTTAACCATACCCTAAGACCTAAACCCTAAACCGTAAACCCCAAGAACAACCCACGACGGGTCGCACGATCTCCGCGTACCCCGCCGCTGAGGCGGCGTCCACCGGAGTGGCGCCATTGCTGTCGGCCTAGTAATGGGGCCGTAATGGTAAGAACAGGGTTTAGGGCTTAGGGTTTCGGGTTTAGGCCTATAATATAGGGGCCTTAAGAATTAGAGTAGGTTTTTTTTTATTTATTTTTTTTTTTTTTTTGGGGGGGGGGGGGGGTTTTAAGTATAACTATAAAGGGACCATGTGGGAATATTATTCGTAATTATTCCGACCCGCATAGAAGATGTGTCAGGAGGCTTAGGACTTCGGGGTTTAGCAGCTTAGGGTTTAGGGTCTCAGGGTTTAGGGTCTCAGGGTTCAGGGTTCAGGGTTTAAGGTTTAGGGTTAAGGGTTAAGAGTTTAAGGTTTAGGATTTCGGGCTTAGAGAGCTCAGGGCTTAGGGAGGTCAGGGCTTAGGGAGTTCAATTTTAGACAATTTGGGGTTTAGGGTTTAGGGTTAGGGCTTAGTGGGTTCAGGGTTTATGGGGGTTCCGGGTTCATGGCTTTTAGGGGGTTCAGGGTGTAGGGCCAAAGTGTAGGGGGTTCCGGGTTTTGGGGGGGTTTAGGGGGTTCCGGGTTTAGGGTGCATGCTGCGGACGCCCGTCCTGGTTGTGGTTGGCGCGTGCCTCCACCAGGCAGCGAACCACCTCCATCTGCCCATACCTGCGACGAAACGAACCCTAAACCCTAAACCCTAAACCCTAAAACCCTCATAGGGCCTAAGGTTCGGGTTGATGGGGGAGGTTGGTCGAAGGTAAACGGTTAAACCCCAAACCCTCTCCCCTTCGGCTGTAGGCTAAGAGGAGGGAGGGAGGAGGATTCAAGAAGCCATGGGCTTAGGATTCAGGGTTCAGGGTTCAGGGTTCGGGGTTCAGGGTTTAGGGCTTAGGGTTTAGGGTTTAGGATCCAGGGCTCTGGACGCATGCGCTCCCCTCAACTCTGGGCCTTATTCAGCCCGAAAACTCCCAAAGCTCCGCAACCCTATCACCCTAAAAGTGAGGGTTTAGGGTTTAGGTTTAGGGTTTAGGGTTTAGGGTTTGAAGGGTTTAGGGCTTAGGGCTCAGGGTTCTACAGCCCTAAACCCCCATAGGTCCCAAATCAAGAATTTGGCCAGGCCCCCTGCCTGCAGGCCAGGTGTAGGGGAGTGGTACCGCTCCTGACGTAGCAGCGAGACAACGTTGCTTGGCAAAGGGGCGTCGGTTGGGTTAGGTACTGGTATCAGGGCTTCGGGTGGAAAAGGTTCAGGGTTCGCTGCAGCGTTCCTGAAACCTTTTCGATCACCACTATGACTTCTAGCAAGGGCATATGGACCCTCAACCCTAAACCCTAAACCCTAAGCCCTAAACCCTAAACCCTAAACCCTAAACCCTTGTGGAGTTCTTTTAATTAGTCCCCCCCAAGGAGGCACCATGCCCACCCCCTTCAACACCGCGGCCTCTGCGCCGTATCTTTGCTGGCCCGGGCATCCAGCAGCCTCGGCCAGGCGCTCGTCTTCGAATTGTTGGCGGAAAGCCGCGAATCCATTAGCCGATAAAGAAACATAGGTTAGAGAGTGTTTATGGTTTAGGGTTTAGGGTTTGGGGCTTAGGGTTGCTAGCTGGTAGTGGGAGTGGGCTTAACCTCGCTCCGAAGTCTTCGCTTGGGGCTTATGGAGTTTGGGGATTGAGATTCAGGGTTTATCGGGCTATCGGGGTTGTTGAAAGGGTTCGGGTTGAGGGTTTAGGGTCCTAAACCCTAAACCCTAAACCCTAAACCCTAAGCCCTAAGCCCTAAACCCTAAACCCTAAACCCTTAGACCAACAACCCAGAGAGTATCGGCCCGAGCAGCAAGCGCACAAAGTCCAGGTGCCCAAGTCGCGAGGCGAGGTGGAGGGCCGTGATGCCAGTTGCCTAAATGAGTTCAGGGGGTCTAGGGTTTAGGGTTTAGGGTTTAGGGTTTAGGGTTTAGCGTTTAGGGTTTAGGGTTTAGGGTTTAGGGCGTAGGGTCTAGGGCCTTGGGGTCGGAGTTTTGGGATACATGGGGCCTATGAGAGGACTTGGAGCAGATTTGAAACCGCCCCGCAAAGCCTCGAAGGTCTAAACCCCCTTAAAGTCCCTCATGAAAATATTCCTGAACATTATCCTCTTACACCCAACAAGGGAAAACATAACAAAACCCCAACGGCTTACATGCCCCCCAAACCCTAAACCCTAGACCCCAAACCCTAAACCCTAAAATCTAAACCCTAAACCCTAAACCCCCAAAGTCCCCGATGAAAAGAGCTCAGCTGCCGAGGCGTTGTCTTGATCCGCGTTGGCCTCGCAGCTGACATGGACTAAATCTACACCCTGATGGGTTTAGGGCTTAGGGTTTCGGGTTTAGAGTTTAGGGTTTAGGGTTTAGAGTTTAGGGTTTAGGGTTTAGGGTTTATCTACACCCTGAAGCCTGGACCCTGTAGGATCTATGGTTAAGGTGATCCTGAACCAGAAGTAATTAGGGATGAATGAACAGACGTGGAGCCGCGGGAGTTTTGTGATGGGTTTAGAGTTTAGGGTTTAGGGTTTAAGGGCTTCGAGCGTAGGGGATGTCGTACAGCTCCGGATTCGTAGCTTCGGACTTCAAGTTGCGATGCCACACCTCTGCTAACCCTGTAGCCTCCAAACCCCAAACCCCAAACCCCAAACCCCAAACCCCAAACCCCAAACCCCAAACCCCAAACCCCAAACCCTAAACCCTAAACCCTAAACCCTAAACTCTAAACCCTAAACCCTAAACCCCAAACGTCCCCTCCAGGTGGGGGCCTCTAGCAGGAGCCGCGCCACGTCCACGTGGCCTAGGACAGCCGCCACGTGCAACGGAGTGGCGTGGTTGGCCTCCCGACCGCTTAGGGTTTAGGGTTTAGGGTTTAGGGTTTAGGGTTTAGGGTTTAGGGTTTAGGGTTTAGGGTTTAGGGTTTAGGGTTTAGGGTTTAGGGTTCAGGGTTCAGGGTTTAGGGGTTAGGGTTTAGGGTTTAGGGTGTTTGGGGTTTAGGGTTTGGGGTGTTTGGGGTTTGGCTCAGGGTGTTGAAATTAAAGGTGCTAGGGTTGGGTTTGTAGGGTTTCCAGGAGGTTTTTGGGGTTTATGGAGGGGGGACTCCGGGGGCCTGGGGCTTTTGGGTTTAGTGCCTAGCTCTTCAAGATTTTAGGGCTGTTTGGGGGTTTCAGGGTCTAGGACCCTAGGAGCTTTCAAGGGTTTAGGGTACTACCCTAAACAAGACCAAGTAGGGGGTCGCGAGTGCAGATGCAGCTTCACAGGGCTTGGGGTGTAGGGTATATGGTTCAGGGTTTAGGGCTAGGGTTTAGGGTTTAGGTGTTAGGGTTAGGGTTTAGGTTTTAGGGTTTAGAGGTTTAGGTTTAGTTTTTAGGAGTTTAGGGTTTAGTGTTTAGGGTTTAGGGTTTAGGGTTTACGGGTTTTAGGGTTTTAGGGTTTAGGGTTTAGGGTTTAGGGTTTAGGGTTTAGGGTTTAGGGTTTAGGGTTTAGGGTTTAGGGTTTAGGGTTTAGGGTTTAGGGTTTAGGGTTTAGGGTTTAGGGTTCCGGTTCGGGAGCCCGGCCCGCCGGCCACTGCTGACCTCTCCTGCAACCGGGTTTGTGCACTAGCGCGGAGCCCTCACACGCCTAGGCTTCCCAGGATTCCGAGAAGTTTACAGGTGTTAGTGGGCATGCAGCAAGGGTGCACTTATCAAGAAGTGTACCAAGTTTTGAGCGTATCCTGCGCAAGGATGACACGCTTGCAGGATCATTCGCACTATCCGGACGATATCTGGCTCAAGAATGAGCACGCACAAGTCGAGAAGTGCCTCTTGGGTGGGGTGGGATATTCAGGGTGTTTTCGGGGGTTGGACCCCGGGGATAGCCTGGTACCCTAGTCCTGTCCTTGACCTCCCCTCCCTGTAGTCCTGAACCCAGGTTACTTGGGGGAGTTCTTTTGACTTTTGAGTTCCGGGTCGGAGATGTCTTGTTGATGATGGCTTCCTCGAATTATGATTCTCTCGATGATGTCCCCTTTAGCATTCGCCAGCAGTTAGCATCACCTACACCATCACACTTCAGCAATGTCTCTGATTCGGGCCATAACCTTTCACAGGTTATGAGCCCAACGGGCGCATATCCGCAAACACACATCACCTCATCAGCACAGCAGCAGCAGCAACATGCCGATGCAGAAGCTCCAGCTATCTTGTTTCGATCGATGGCACAACTACAAATCCCAAGTGAGATCTTGCATAGTCTGCAGCATCTAGCCAATGTCAATCTTGGAGGCCTACAAGATTTGGACACCCTGAGGCAGGGCATGGGTATGTTGGCACAAGAGCTCAACGTTCGAACGGAAAGTTTGTCCAAAGCAGTGACAGCGGTGGCGGATCTTTCCTCGATGGTGAGAGATGGGGCGATGGTCTTGGAGGGTCAAGTGAAGGACGCTTCCGATGAGAGGCAATGTCTGGTGGCCCAGATGAACCGTGTGTGGAAGAATCAAGAGGATTTCTCTGCACGCCTATTGGCACTTGAAGGTGCTGCATCGCGACTGGAAGAAAGCAGCATGCAACAGCAGGCTGCGCTCCGGGAACTTGATCTTAAGCTGGGTGGCCTGAACCTGGCGTTCGACCAGGCCAGGGAGGCCGTTCAGCAGTTGCAGGATGAGGACCCTGCAAGCCTCGAGTCTGCAGTGGGGACGATGCGCTCACAAACTGCACTCCTGAGTACAACTATGACACGTCTGGAAGCCTTGTCGCATGATGTGGAACTGGCAAACAGGCGAGTTGCCCAACAGGAAGCTGCGTCTAAGAAGGACCTCGAGCAGTTGGCGTCAGTGACGGATGCCACAGTGAAGCTTGAGGCCAGATGCGAGCAGATAGAAAGGGCGTTGGAGGAGCGAGGCCAGCTGATGGCCCCAGTTCCTGAGCGGACTGTGCGATTCCAACAGACTTCGAAGCCGCCTGAGGTGGCCAAGCCTACGACTTCCTGGCAACCTCTCCCAGGAACTGAAGAGACCCAGGTGCAGAGATTTGAGATGTCTCCCGAATCTTTACAGCAGCCTGCCATCGACGAGTGGTACACTGCTGAGGAGGAGGGGGAGGGGCCAGCTAGCTGGGACTTTTCTTCGAAACCACCTGGCTTGTTTCAGCCTCAGTCACTGCCACCCCCACTGCCGGAAGTAGCCCGAAGGATTGGGTCCGGACATGCTTTTGAAAAGGTGCCCGCTGGACAGTGGAAGATGCTTAAAGATTGCCCGGTCCTGAAGCTGAACTCTGACGAACCTTGGGAAAGAGGTTTGGTTTTGAGACAGTGGGAAAATGAGACAGGAGCAATTGCAGCTGTGGTGGCTTCTTCCTTTGGTGCTTTCTTCAGACGACGGATGAAGGAGGCCTTGGATCGCTATCAACAGCGCCAGAGTAGCGGTGTGGAAGAGGATGTCCCGAGCATCCCACCAGAAGAAAGAGAATATGAGACTCGTTTGGGAGTCATGCTCATCAAGGTACTGCCTGCATCCATCAGACAACCGGTGATGGAGCGCACAACAAGCTTGGAGGAGCCGTTGTCCACCCTCTTGCTTTTGGAGTCGGTGATCGAGCGGTTCTCGCCCGGTGGCACATCTGAGATGACATCATTGTTGCAGTATCAGCGGTGTCTTCCGACGGCAAATTCTTATAAAGAGCTCCTGAAAATCTTGCGGAAGTTTGATTTGGCACGAACTCGGACGACGTATTTGCAGTTGCCTGGACTACCAGCCCATGAGGTCATCAAATCTCTCGATGGTCTGACTCGGACGTTGGAACGAAAAAATCCCGCGTTGGCCATGAGATTGAACTTGATTCGGATGACGCCTGAGGTAATGGTACCATCGGAGACTGGGGTTCAGAGGATGCTCACTACGTTGGTGCAAGAGGGCCGACGACTGCAAGCTGAGGACGAGATCTCCAAGAGCAAGTCAAATCAGGTGTACATTGAGGACTCTCAAGCTTCCCAGGCCGCACTACCCAACTTCGTCAAAGAAGAACAGATACACCGTGATGTCGTATGGTGAGGAACAGTTGGCCAATCGAGTGGAACAAGAGCTGATTGAGGCTAGCATAGCACCAGCGCAAGCTGAGGTTGTAGGTCTTGAGGGCTTCTATGGGGAAAAGAGAGAGGCGTGGAAAATGTCGCTGGAGAAGGAGTATGCCAAGATGGATGGAGTTCTAGAAGAGGCTCTACCTGAAGAGCTGAGGTCCAAGTTGGGGCTGCCTCCGGATGCGCCATTGCCAAAGCCTATACCCAGCAAAGTCGTGTGTACCCTGAAGCCTAACATCGACGGTTCCTCGGAGAAGCTTGAAAAAAGTCGCTTGTGCGCCTGCGGAAACTTTGAGCAAGGAGTGGACGATAATGGGGAACCCTGGAGTTCATCTAATATTCCACCAGAAATCGTGAGATGTTTTACTTCTCTGGCAGCGAGCAATGTCACGTGGACACTTGGCAGTCTGGATGTTGAGGCGGCATTTCTTAACGCGGAAATCACATCAGGAGACCCGGTTATTATCATGCCCCCGAAAGTCATGAAAGACTTGGGTATGGTGCGCCCTCGAACCTTGTGGATTGCCAGAAGATTGATCTACGGCCTTCGCCGAGGACCGACAGAATGGGAGCGCGAAAGAGACCATAAGGTTGATCATGCAAAGCTGGAGGCCCAGGATGGTGATCGTCATGGCGCTCTACACTTGAAGCCGTTAAGCTTGGCTGCCGGACTATGGAAGGTGACCAACTCTAAGGGAGAAACGCTGGGAGCCTTTTGTTGCTATGTTGACGACGGCTTGGTGGTTGGGGATGCGGAAATCATCAGACGGGTGATGGCTTTTGTGAAGAGTCTATGGGCAGTAAAGGGGCAAGGAGTCTTGAACAAGGAGGGCGCTGGGGTCGAGCAGGGCATCCAAGTTGATGAAGACATGGTGCTACTGCCAAAGACTGAGTTGCGATTCTTGGGGGTAGAAATCGAGGTGGATGGAGCCAATCTAGCGTTGCATCAGCACAAGTATATAGCATGTGAGTTGCGAAAGCGCGGATGGTTGGACCTCAAAGGCAGTGACTGCCTACCTACGCCTAAGGAGGGCTTACTGGCTCCGCCACTCAGAGACGAGACGTTTGAGCAAACCAAACTTCGCGCTCAGAAGGAGGTGGACGCTCATGTGGATAAGTTTGCGCAGCAGACCTGATGTGGCGGCTTGCCTTGGGATAGCGGCTACCTTGGTGGCTACACATCCTGAGGAGAGTGTGAGATTGACGCGTGGAATTTGGCGCTTTCTAAGGGCAACTTGGGATGTTCGCTTGATGTTTCGCGCAAAGCATGAAGAGACCCCGTCGCAGGTTGTGAGGATGACTGCTGATGCGAGTTTCGCACCAGGCGGAGCACGCAGCAGGACCGGTTATGCAATTTTTATGGGAGACCATTTGATTAGCTGGCGCTCGCAAAGGCAAGCGCTTGTTGCTTGGTCAGCGACGGAAGCAGAGCTGGAAGCGACCGCCACAGTTGTTCAAGATGGAGCCAAATTCCAGGAGACTCTTTCAGAACTAGTGGGTCACAAGTTGGAGCTTTTGTTGCAGAACGATAATTCTGGAGGGCTAACCTTGTTGACGCGGCAAAGGTTTTTCACACAAGACATGCGTACAAGGCACTTCGCGGTGAGGTGTGCATATGTCAGGGACCAGATAGCCGTGCTCAACATCGTATTGGAGCATAAGGGCACGGATACTCTTGAAGCGGATGCTCTCACGAAGGTGTTGTCCAAGGAGAAGTTGCGACAAGGCAGGCTTGGACTGCGACTCTTGAAGAAGTGACTGTAGCCGAGACACGCATGCACTACGTACCAACCAAAGGTGACAAGTACGAGATCTTTCAAGAAGTGTAGTACTTGTCTGAATTCGATATCCCTTGCTTTTGAGAGTTTTGTGAAGGTGGCCAATCAGTAGAGGTAGCCATGTTTCTCAGGCAGGGGTGCTGTTGACTCGCGTGTGGACCGTCCACTGACCAGTACTACGCGAGAGTAGATGTGATATGCTGCTTTTGATGCCCGAAGGTATGTGCTAGATCTTTGTTGCGCAATGCTCCAGCAAGGAGGAGTGTTAGTGGGCATGCAGCAAGGGTGCACTTATCAAGAAGTGTACCAAGTTTTGAGCGTATCCTGCGCAAGGATGACACGCTTGCAGGATCATTCGCGCTATCCGGACGATATCTGGCTCAAGAATGAGCACGCACAAGTCGAGAAGTGCCTCTTGGGTGGGGTGGGATATTCAGGGTGTTTTCGGGGGTTGGACCCCGGGGATAGCCTGGTACCCTAGTCCTGTCCTTGACCTCCCCTCCCTGTAGTCCTGAACCCAGGTTACTTGGGGGAGTTCTTTTGACTTTTGAGTTCCGGGTCGGAGATGTCTTGTTGATGATGGCTTCCTCGAATTATGATTCTCTTGATGATGTCCCCTTTAGCATTCGCCAGCAGTTAGCATCACCTACACCATCACACTTCAGCAATGTCTCTGATTCGGGCCATAACCTTTCACAACAGGGTCTATGGGGGGGTGGGGGGGTGGGGGGTGGGGGGTGTGGGGGGTGGGGGGTGGGGGGTGGGGGTGGGGGGTGGGGGGTGGGGGGGTGGGGGGGGGTGGGGGGTGGGGGGATGGGGGGGGTGGGGGGTGGGGGGGGTGGGGGGTGGGGTGGGGGGGTGGGGGTGGGGGGTGGGGGGTGGGGGTGGGGGTGGGGGGTGGGGGGGGGGGGGGGGTGGGGGGGGGGTGGGGGGTGGGGGGTGGGGGGTGGGGGGGTGGGGGGTGGGGGGTGGGGGGTGGGGGGGTGGGGGGGGGGGAGGGGGGGGTGGGGGGGTGGGGGGTGGGGGGTGGGGGGTGGGGGGTGGGGGGTGGGGGGGGGGGTGGGGGTGGGGGGTGGGGGGTGGGGGGGGGGGGGGTGGGGGGGGTGGGGGGGGTGGGGGGTTGGGGGTGGGGGGTGGGGGGGGGGGGTGGGGGGGGGGGTGGGGGGGTGGGGGGTGGGGGGTGGGGGGGGGGGGGTGGGGGGTGGGGGTGGGGGGGGGTGGGTGGGGGGTGGGGGGGGGGGGGGTGGGGGGTGGGGGGTGGGGGGTGGCGGGGTGGGGGTGGGGGGTGGGGGGGTGGGGGGGGGGGGTGGGGGGTGGGGGGGGGGGGTGGGGGGTGGGGGGGGGGGGTGGGTGGGGGGGGTGGGGGGGGGGGGGGGGTGGGGGGTGGGGGTGGGGGGGGGGGGGGTGGGGGGGGTGAGGGTGGGGGGTGGGGGGTTGGGGGGAGTCGGGGGTGGGGGGGTGGGGGGTGGGGGGTGGGGTGGGGGGGTGGAGTGGGGGTGGGGGCGGGTGGAGTGGGTGGGGTGGGTGGGGGGTGGGGGGTGGGGGGGGGGGGATGGGGGGTGGGGGGGGTGGGGGGGTGGGGGGTGGGGGGGGGGGGGGGGGGGGTGGGGGGGGGGGTGGGGGGATGGGGTGGGGGGTGGGGGGGGGGTGGGGGGTGGGGGGGGGGGGATGGGGGAGTGGGGGGGGTGGAAGGCAGGGGGGAGGGGTCTACAGGGGGCTAGAGGTGATAGGGTTTTACACTCGACCCTAAAGGCCACCCTAAAGGCCACAGAGCTTAACCAGACCCCTAGAGCTGATCCATAAACCTCTAACGGTACCCGAAAACCTAAACCTAAACACTAAACCCTAAAACCCTAAAACCCTAAACCCTAAACCATAACCCCTAGCCCCTAAACCCTAAACCCTAAACCCTAAACCCTAAACCCTAAACCCTAAACCCTAAACCCTAAACCCTAAACCCTAAACCCTAAACCCTAAACCCTAAACCCTAAACCCTAAACCCTAAACCCAAACCCTAAACCCACTTCCAGCCTCAGCCTTTCCGGTGTTGGCGCCTACCTGCTGGTTTGTGCTTTTGGGGGTACTCTGGGAAGTTGATGGGCCCGCGGGTTGTCTATTAGGCTTAGGCTTGAAAGGGATTTAGGGTTTAGGGTTTAGGGTTTAGGGTTTAGGGTTTAGGGTTTAGGGTTTAGGGTTCGGGTTTCGGGTTGAGGGTTGAGGGTGTAGGGTTTAGGGTTTAGGGTTTAGGGTTTAGGGCTCGGGGGAGTTCTGTCTGATCAGAGGGGCCCACAGGCCTAGAAGCAGAACTGCAAACGCTCAAGCCAGAACTCTGTGAATGACAGCCCAGCTCTAGCGGAAGTTGCGTGGTCCCTTCACTGCTTCCTTGTTGGGGCTATATTAACAATGATTATATTTTCCTTATTGGGGGAATTTAAGATGACAAAACATGCAAGATCATAACCAACAAGGACCCAGTAATATGGCCCCTTACCTTCTTGAAAGGCTTCTGAAGTACGGGTTCTTGGGTGGTGCAGGCCATATAAGCGGTACAGAAGAGTTCCCAATTCAGGGCCCATTTTGAAGATCCCCAGTTAAGGGCCCATATTAAGAAACCATGCAACTACAAGAAGCTCAACACTGTCCAAAGCACACCCTACGAACCCTAAACGCCAAACATCAAACCCTAGATGTCGAAAGCACCAGCAAAAAACAAGCTCCCAGGGCCACAGCCCTAAACCGCCCAAAGCTCGATCCCAAAACAAGGCCTCCACAAGAAAGCGCACAATCTCAATCCTGCGCGATGATGTGGGGGACAGAAGGGGGGGGGGGGGGGGGGGGGGGGGGGGGGGGGGGGGGGGGGGGGGGGGGGGGGCGTGGAATGCGGTGGGGGTCAGGGGCTTAGCCTGGTTTACCGGCTTAAAGGTCGCTTCAGTTCCTCAGGCTTTCGCAAACAGAAGGGTTGGGATTTGGGCCAACGAAGGGTTTGTAAGCTCGGAGGACTGATGGCTTTGGAAACCCTAAACCCTAAACCCTAAACCCCAAACTCTAAACCCCCCTAAACCCTACACCCTAGCCATAAACCCTAAACCCTAAACCCTAAACCCTAAACGATAAACCCAAACCCTAATCTTTGAAAAGCCCCAAAAGTGCTAACGAGCCGAAGCGCCGATTGTTCCGGCAGGCGGAGTGCATCCTTAGCTGTTCTTGGGGCGCCTGGTTTGGGAATTTATAGGGTTTAGGGTTTAGGGTTTAGGGTTTAGGGTTCAGGATTTAGGGTTTAGGGTTTAGGATTTAGGGTTTAGGGCTCAGGGCTTCTTCAGGTTTAGGGTGTTGAAAAGGCCTGTGAAAAGAAAGAGCCAACCGGAACCATCGAAACCATGGGGGGGGGGGGGGGATCTGAACTATATGGCACTCTTGGCGGCCAAAATGGGAGGACCCTTACGAGGGACCATGGGGGCTACATTGGGGCTGCTTAAGTATATAGGGACTCTATAAGGTATATAGGCCATATAGGGGACTCAGATGAAGGGTCCGTCCCTCCTTATATGGGCAGGTCTCAAATTTATAGCCCCCTTTGGGGGTACGCGAAATATTGGCTGCCGTCTTATCATAGTAGCTCCAAAAGGGCCCTAATTTAGAGAGAGAAGCACCCATATCAGTTAAGATCAACTTCCGAGACAAAATATTCAAAAATGGATCACTCTGTTCCACCCTAACCCTAAACCCTAAGCCCTAAGCCCTAAACCCCAAACCCTAAGCCCTAAGCCCTAAACCCTAAACCCTAAACCGTGAACCCCAAAAAGAGCACAGAATTCAGATCAACTCCCGCGGCACCCCATTTTATACCCCAAATAGAATAGACTCCCCTTGAAGGGACCCTAAACCCTAAACCCTAAACCCTAAACCCTAAACCTTAAACCCTAAACCCTAAACCCTAAACCCTAAACCCCCAAATGGTCTGGGCTCGGCGTGGCTCCGCCGATTTGGGCCGCGTCTTTGTCGGCCCCAGACTCCACCTGTTCGTGTCAGGGTTTAGGGTTAGGGTTTAGGGTTTAGGGCAGGGTTTAGGGTTTAGGGCTTAGGGTTTAGGGTTTAGGTTTTAGGGTTCAGGGTTTAGGGTTCAGGGTTCAGGGTTTAGGGGCTTGCTGGGGGAGGAGGGGGAAGTTCAGTTTTGCTTGATGCTTTCTTTGGGGGGGAGGTGTCTGGCCTGGCATGGGTTGGGGTTAGAGGCATTTGGGTCGAGGGTGTTGAGGGTCCCAGCCAAAGAGCAGAATTTTGGGGGCCTTGAGTCCTTGAGGGCTTGAGGGCTTGAGGGCCAAGATCTCGAACTCAAGTTTGAGCCTTGGGTTCTTCCCACTGAAGATAAGGGGCATGAAAGGGTTCGGGATTTCGGGCTTAGGGTTTTAAGACTTACGGCTTTCGGACTTCGGGTTCTTCAGGTGTTGAGGCTAACGCCGCAGCGGCACCAGCAGGCGCGCCACGTCCACGTGCCCACCGCGGCAGGCAGCCTCGAGGGGAGTGGCGCCATTGGTGTCCGTGCGATCCACCTCCGCAAAGGCCTCCCGGCTCTGGGGCCCTAAACCCTAAACCCTAAACCCTGAACCCTGAACCCTAGAAACCCTGAACCCTTTAAACTTCAAACCCTATGCACCCTAGGCTTTGGGGCCCTAAGATAAACCCGAAGCCTACCTACACCCGAACCCCAGAAGCTTGCTTTGGGACTTTTTAGGGTTCAGGGCTGAAGCGTAGCATACCACTCACAGCACCCCAAGCTACCTGGAAACTAAGCGAAGACACAACACTGGTCCGAACAGTCCGAACATCCACTTCGCTCTACCCTAAGCTGGAAGGAACCCTAAACCCTAAACCCTCACACAAACCCTACACCTGAACCCTAACCCTAAACCCTAAATCCTAAACCCTATACCAAACTCCATACCTAAGCCCTAAAGCCTATATGCCCGAACACTATCGTAATGAAGATCCCCAAAAAACCTCATTCGGGGTTTGGCTCTCCAGGGCGTTGGGTGCCAAAGCCGGGTACCCGGACTGAAACCCTTCAATCGCACAGTCTGGTCTATACCATAAAAGCCCTAAACCCTAAACCCTAAACCCCAAACCCCAAACCCTAAACCCTAACCTTCCACCCCAAAGTAGTCTCTGAGCTCCGGCCTCCAAGAAGAGCTTCGCAGTCCGCAGGCTCCCACTACCGGCAGCCACACCTAGGCCCAGGAGAAACATAGGAATAAAGCGGGTACCCTTTTCGGTTTTAAGAGGCTTACAAGAAACCCCTAAACCCTAAACCCTAAACCCTAAACCCGAATCCCTAAACCCTAAACCCTAAACCCTAAACCCTACAAACCCCTAAATAAAAAGAAACACGAGCATTCTCCGGGTCCTAGACACTGAGCCCTGGCCGGCTCCGATCAACCAGCAGGTTCGGATCCACGGGCAGCTGCAAGAACAACTCCACAGCCGGTACCTGAGAACTTTAGGGTTTAGGGTTTAGGGTTTAGGGTTTAGGGTTTAGGGTTTAGGGTTTAGGGTTTAGGGTTTAGGGTTTAAGTGATGTGGGGAGCTGTACCCCATAGCTTAACCTGGACCACAGAGAAGAAGCCCTAGACGGATCCCTAAACGCTGAGCCCGAAACTTCTCCTAAACCCTAAGCCATCGGCTGTGAGGGTTTTAGGGGCTGAGGGGCTTTTTGGCTTTCGGCCTTAGTTTAGGGCTTAGGCGTTTAGGGCTCAACTGAAATCCATTCTGAAAGCCTTGCCAGACAGACGTGCTGCATTGTCCGCCTCCACCGCTCGCGTAAATTCCGCCAGGAGCGGGGCTTCAGGAATGCAGAAGTTTAACAGCACCAACTGCAAACACAGCGGCACATACAGCCTTGGTTGCTGATGCAAGGTTAGGGTTTAGGGTTTAGGGTTTGGGGTTTAGGGTTTAGGGTTTAGGATTAATTTGGCTTCTACAATCATGGGACTCTATCTTCGACCCCGAAGGTTGTATGCTTGGGTTTGGGGGCGCCCTTTGTACGATCCTAATACAAGGGCCATTTTGGGAGAATATTGAGGGGAACTCTTGGGGGAACAACCTTAAGGGTCCGAGTCTTAACCCCTTGATACAACGTGATGCAGGTGGTTCTGGTTCAGGGGATCGAAAATAGCAGGCTGCGGGCTACTTGCCTACAGGCGCATGCTCTTCTGCTCTGTGATGTGGAACGATGCGGACAGCAAGCCCCGCATGGTGTCAGATGTCACCCTAAACCCGGGTTTACCCTTTACCCTAAACCCTAAACCCCTAAACCCTTAACCCCATTAACCCCTTAACCCCTTAGCCCTTAAACCCCTAAACCCCTAAACCCCTAAACCCCAAAACCCCTAAACCCCTAAACCCCTAAAACCCTAAACCCCTAAACGCCCCAAACCCTAAATTAAACCCCCTAAACCCCGAAACCCTAACCCCTAAACCCCTAAATCCCTAATCCCCTAAACCCTAAACCCCAAAACCCCAAACGTAGCTCCAGCAGGGGCCAAGTTAGGGGATAGGATTAAGGGGACCCTTGGGGAAAAAGACCCTCTGAATAAGGTCCCTTTTTAAGAGAGCCAGAAGAGGGTTCAGAAGGGGTTCCCTTTTAAGGGTCCCCCTTATCCTACCAAGGACAAGTAGCCCTAAACCCTAAACCCTAAACCCCAAAACCCCAAACGTAGCTCCAGCAGGGGCCAAGTAGCCCGGCATCGTCGCGCAAGATGGATCCTTCGTGCAGCAGCCGCTGGCGGAAGCGTGGTAGGCCCAGCAAACTCTGCAAGTGCCGCTTCAATCCTGGAGGTGGTTTAGGGTTTAGGGTTTAGGGTTTGGGGTTTGGGGTTTGGGGTTTGGGGTTTGAGGTTTGGGGTTTGGGGTTGGGGGTTTGGGGTTTGGGGTGTGGGGTTTGGGGTTTGGGGTTTAGGAACCAGGTTGTCCGATTGGAGACCCCCGAAGCTTTATAAGTCCTGTGGAAAGGTACGTCAGGAAACCCTAGTTCGCAACCCATCCCCCTCCGCCACCCCGCCCCCCCACCCAACCCCAATATCGTTGGTCACTCGGTGCTGCTCACCTTCTACAAAGTTCCTATGAGTACTGCGTGGGGCGGACGGGGTGAAGTCAGAACCCTGAAAAGCGACTGGCTCTTAGCAGGGTATTTGCGAATTCCTTATTTTGTTCACACCCATATACGTACCCTCATAAGCGCAATTTGTTCATAGGAATACCTACCTAAACACTCAACCCTAAACCCTGAACCCTAAACCCTAAACCCTAAACCCCAAACCCCAAACCCTAAACCCTAAACCCCTTGGCAGTCCAAGGAGCCCCTGACAACCTGGTCTTGCTCGGTGAACAGATCCGCCAGCTCATCTTCAGAGAGGGCCACGATGTCGGTGCCGGAAACCATCCGAATGCGCAACATAACTTCTGGGCTCTGGCAGAGGGCAAGGAATCCCTAAACCCTAAACCCCAAACCCTGAACCCTGAACCCTAAACCCTAAACCCTAACCCCTAAATCCTTTGACTTCTGGGATTCAGGTCCATTCAAGGCTGAAAAGGGGCTCGAGATTCCAGGGTCTAGCCAGGTCATCCTCGTGGGCCCTTGCAGGAAACATGCACAACATACCAGGATCCTGCTGAGTTATGGCTGTCGGGCTTGCGGGAGACACTTAAGATACACCCTAAACCCTAAACCCTAAACCCTAAACCCTAAACCCTTTGAAGATCCGAAGCCCTCCTGGTTGGCGCAGAGGCAGCTTTGGCCTCTGTGCTCAACTTCCTAGTGCAGAGCCCCCTGCTTCGGAAAGGCATAAGGGTTTAGGGTTTAGGGTTTAGGGTTTCGGGTTTAGGGTTCAGGGTTTAGGGTTCTGGGTTATGTGTTCGTCTGACGGCACGCACGACATCCTGTGATGTCCCTAGATTGCTAGTCCCAAGCGCAAGTCCCCCCCTAAATGGGGATTAACAATGTGGGCCCCTTTTTGGCACACAAAACATCTGCTACAATGAAGAGATTGAACCAAAGCCGCCCCCCCCCCAAAAAAAAAAAAAAAAAAAAACTCACGATTTAGATCAACCACCACATGAATTCTAGCACCTTGCCCAACTGTTCGGCACAACCACCTTCAAACCAAGGTTTGTTTCAACACGCGTGGCCAGTTCTGTTTTACCCTAAACCCTAAACGCTAAACCCTAAGCCCTAAACCCTAAACCCTAAACCTTATGAGAAAGGCTAAACGCGAATCCCTCATCCTGCACCCTAACGCCTCGGCATCAAAACACACGGAGCTTCAAAAGCCCAAATGTATGCACGGGGCTATCTACCTGCATTTGTGTTTCTCTACAGGTATAGATACACCAAGGAAGGGGGAGAGAAAGGGGAGAGAGAGAGAGAGAGAGCGAGACGTGCATGCACACAGATCCTATAGAAACCCTGAACCGTATGTACTAAGCTCGTCGAATCAAAAACACCTTCAGCCAGAGCAACTAAAGTTCTGAACCATGACCCTTAATCCTAAACCAAGCCGCCAAATCTCTCAGCATGTCTCAAAACCGCACGCCACCCTCATCCTTACATTCCAGACCCCCTGAACCGCAAACCCTTCACCTTAAACTGCCTTAGGCGCTAAACCCTACACTTCCTCACGCCCCAAAACCTAAACTGCCTTTCAACAAGCACCCTGCGGTTCAGGGTTCAGTGTCCAGGGTTCAGGGTTTAGGGTTTAGGGTTTGGGGTTTAGGGTTTAGGGTTTAGGGCCCCCCCTGCCTCGGCATAGGCGCAGGACCCTGGCGGCCACCCTTCATGGCGCGGGCTCCAGGACTCGCAGCGTGGCAGGACTTGAGGTTTAGGGCCCAGGGTTTAGGGTTTAGGGTTTAGGGTTTTGAGAATCCAAACCCTTACGATTGCAGGTAATGAGGAACAGTTGAACTCAGTTTGGGGATTCTGGGCAAATCCCCTTATAGGTGGGAATCTTGGATCACAAGACAATAGGTTTGGGAGTTCTTGAAATAGTAGGGCTTGAGGGCTTATGGCTTTGGGGTGTGATGGCCTAGAGGGGGCTTTTAGGGCTTGGGGCGAAGAAGAGCTTAAAGGGTTTAGGGCCTGGGATTTACAAGTGAACAGACCGCAATTCAACCCTGTACCCCAAATCCTAGGAGCTCCACAACCCGAACCCCCAAACCTTGCAAGCACCTAGACTACGAAAGTCCCCAATGAATCCTTGAAAACCTGAAGCCAACGTACCTAAACCCTAAATAGCCGCCGAGACACATACAGACACACACAAACACACCACCAACCCCAAACCCTAAAGTCAAAGCCCCTCAAGCCAAGACCCCCTGGGGCTCGAGGCCGCGAGAGAAGGGCCAACCTCATCTAGATTTTCGGGTTCAGGACTATTATTTGGGGCGTGGTTTAGGCCTACTTAGGGCTGTTTAGAACTACCTGCGCTATTAGGGGGGCTAGTCAAGATTATGCAGGATAATTTAGAATGTATTTGGGCCGGGGTTGATCAGGGTTTAGGGTTCGGAGTTTCTATAGGGTTTCAGGGGTTTCGGGTTCTGAGGTGATTGGCTTGCAAGAGTTGTCTTAGCTGTTGCGCCCGTCTCTAAACGTTCACAAGGCCCTCCATCCGTAAGCCTATACTCGGCATTGAACCATCTCCAAAATGAGCCCTAAACGCCATGATTGATATGATGTCGGGCCTGTATATAAGGCTCCATACGAATGTTGGCGACTGTCTACGTCGGGGTGCCCTGGAGGTACTAGCGAGAAAGAAAGCTACTTCATTTTGAGAGCGGAGATTGCAGAAATGTTCCACATTGGTGCCCAGTATGCCTTGCGCATGCCGGTGTCCTAGATCCTTACGACCATCTTCTGCTGCGAAAAAAGCGCCCAAGAACCCAAGAATACAATGGCGCTAAGGGAAACTAAACCTCGAAGTATGCATAACAAAAAGTCAGGCAGCTGAGGAGAACCCCAAAACCCCCTAAAAACCCTAAACGCCCTAAAAACCCAAGAATCCTAAGACCCAAAAAAAACCTAAACACCCTGAAAACCCTAGAAGCACTAAAAATCCAAAACCCACCCCTAAACACCCTAAACCAAAATCCTCTAACCCCTGAAGCCCAAATCTTGCGCGTAACAGCGTGCAGGAATATATACATTCAAAAACTCAAGCGATGGGGTTTTGGGTTTTGGATTAGGGTATTGGAGGGGGAGGGGAGAGGAGGAATTTTCGAGGATCTGAGCACTTGACCATTGAACCCCTAAACCCTGAAACCCAAACCCGGTCTCTTTTGGGGTTTAGGGCTCTTAAGCATGCGGAATCCAGGCTCAGGGATTTGTTTCCCTATCCACCCTGCCCCCTACCCCCCTACCCCCGCCACCTCGTCTACCCTCCATTACCCCCCCCGTGCGCTTTTTTCGCTAAGGAAGGGATCCCAACCCTTAGAACGCCGAAGCCACAGCGCAACAGGGCGAGGCACCAAGAAGGCATTCAGGGTAATGACAACATTCTCCAAAGTCCTCGGCGCTGGCGAACAAATCCGGTTCAGAAGGGTCAGAGACTGAGAAGTAGGTTTAAGGACATCAGTCTAAATACCCGCCAACACTCCAAACAAACCCTGACCCTAAACCCGCCAAACCCTCAACCCTGATCCCTACACCTTATAAACCCTAAACCCTAAACCCTGAACCCTGAACCCTAAATCCTAAATCCTAAACCATAAACCCTAAACCCAAAACCCTAAACCTTATAAACCTAAGCCCTAAACCTTATGAACCCTAAACCCTGGCGGCCCAGGGTTAAACTCCCAGCTTGCGGCTGTCAAGGGGCCGTCAACCTCACCCAAACCCTACAGACCCGAGACCCCAAATACCCGGCACCCGAAATATCCCTAAACCCTAAACCCTAAACCCTAAACGCTAAACCCTAAACCCTAAATACATCCTGAACCCTGAGCCCCAAACCCTAAACCCTGACACCACCCCCAAACTTCACAACCCTACACCGTGGGATGTTCCCCCTTATACTAAGAGTCCTTAGTAGGGATGGAAATAGGGGGTACGAATCGCCACAAAGGCCTGTTGAGGGGAACTAACACCCTAAACCCTAAACCCTAAACCCTAAACCCTAAACCCTAAACGCCACACGACATCCTCCAGCACCCTCGGCCCCTTGCAGCTCCAGGGCATTCGGCTGCACAAGGAAACGTGGCCTCACCAGATGGGCAATAGGGTTTTTGTTTAGTGTTCAGGGTTACATCTCTCAGGAACACCCCAAAACCCTGGAGTCTGGGGTTTAGGGTTTAGGGTTAAGCGATCAGGCTTCCAAAAATGAGGATTGACCGTATTTTGCAGGTACAAAAGGGTCGCACACCCGACTTTGGGGGAAAGATGCCCAGACTACACGGGCAAAACGTCTTCTAGGGAAGGCCATCCTGTGGCTGGCCCTAAACCCTAAACCCTAAACCCTAAACCCTATACCCTATGCACCCTAAACCCCCCCAGGGCTTTAGGGTCTAGGGCACGTGGGAAATAGACTTTCTACTTTCACGAGATGCTCAAGGTACAGTGGAGCCTTGGCATAGTGGTTGGGCTCAGGGTTTATGGTTTAGTGTGTAGGGTTGTTTCGGGTTTAGGGCCTTTTAGGGTTTAAGGGGTTACAGGCCACTACTCCAAGATGGGTGGAAGGTTGCATACTCGATGTCGCAAAGGATGCCATTCCCCCTCTAACCGGTCGCTTCAAGATTGGGGTTCCAGGCTCGGATTCCGGAAGAAACCCTAAAGAACCTCTTTAAAAACCAACGCCTTCAAACCCTTTCAAGCACACTCGATTTGTTCAACGAGATCAAAAATTGACATCTCTTTAAAACGCCCCAAACAGACTATCAACACAAAGCACATTAACACAACAAAATGAAAACCAAATTAAACAAAAAAACAAACCCAAAACCCAAAACCGAAAGCCTGAACCCTGAACCCTACGTGGTGCGCGCACGTGCAGCAAAGTGGGATCATCTAGCATGGTGCTATGGGTCCCTGCGTGCAGCAGGACTCGCGTCTGTGTGCATGTGCTAACGTGCGTTTGTTGTTAGTCATTTGAGTTGCTTTTGTCAATAGAGAGAATACGTGTTGCGACCGCGGGTGAGAGACGTGTAGCTTTGTGTCGATTTTCCCCGCCCTCCACGCTCATGAAGGATTAAAAGTTTGTGGTGCGGCCCTGTTTCTGCTTAATAGTTTCCTGCGAAAAAGAGAGAGGTTCGAGTTGGGTGCAGGCTTTCTTCTCTCCTTGTTAGTTTTGAGTGCTTGAAGATCTCGAACCCTGAGCCCTGAACCCTGAACCCTAAACCCTAAACCCTAAACCCTAAACCCTAAACCCTAAACCCTAAACCCTAAACCCTAGCCCTAAACCCTAAACCCCT